AACTCTACTACATCTCTGGAACACTGAGGTCCTCGCAGTGAATCAATTCCACTGGCGTGTGTAGTTATCTTTTTAACACTATTAGATTGTATAGCATTGGTTATCTTGATGTGCACGAAGTCTCCATAAATATACATGTTACTACTTATATGTTCCTCGCTGTTGGGTTCTATAGAAGGAACAACCTACTCAAATGGAATGTACAAGGGGAAAAGGAGCAAAAAGAATGCAGTGATGCTAATTTAGCATTTTTCTCTTGCACATGAAGGAAGAAGTCCACTCTGAAGGTTACTATCCTTTGTAGAGTATTAATCATTTAAGCATAGTGCCTTGAGAGTGTAAAGTAATTATTGTTTAGGTAATAAGATAAATGTCCAGCAAAAGTGAAGTTAATCATTATTCACACATACCTTCCTCTCAAGTGACCATACTCCAATAAAAATAAGCTATTACACATTTATATGATGTGCAACTGTCAGAACACAATCTTGAAGCCTCACTAAACTAAAACATGGAGAATGGTGGATGGAAACTCTGACGACAGTGAGCCCACTAAGTTGGGCATTCATGAAATTGTTACTGCTATTGACTGTCTGCTCAAGAATTTACAGGGGAAACAAACCATATAACACTTCAGCCAGCCAGTTTGTTAGATTTAGTCAAAATTTCATACTGATTTTAGGTTTAGCAGTAATGTAGACTTATCCTCAGATGCTCCACTCATAAAGGTCTCATTTCTATGGTATGCTAAGCTGGTCACAACCATCAGGATTTTGTCAGTCGCATTCTGATTGGCTATCTGCAGGTCCATGTGTGCACACTTCCATGCACTATCTATCGAGAAATACAGTTACTCACTCTGCATGCTATGGCGACTCTTTTGGAGCAAGATGGACATTTGATGGGTTTGCTGCTGCATATCACTGCAGGTGCGTTTTTGCTATAGCCCCTTTTAAAAAATCACCTCCCTTACGCGTCATTCAAAAACAATGATTTGTAGTTGTTTGTTTTGCATGTCAGTTAGATTTCCTGTTGAAGTAGGAAGCTCTTGGCCACGTTAAGTGCCAGACTTCTGCCCACCATCAGACAGTCTAATAGTTATGTACTTATGCAGTTTAATCATACTCATCTCATTTCTTACATTTCTACTTGCTAACTGCATGAGCTGACAACTTCAACTGGAACGTTATTGCTTGTCATAGTTAAGGCTAGACTGATTTAACAGGCTCATTTTCTGCAGAAACAAATAAATAAACAAATTGCACTACAAACAATTTTACAAATATTTTATAAATGGATACATGGTTTTAGTCTCATGGGAACAAACATGATCCTTGTGGCCAGAATGCTGGGGACTTAAACTTGTGGTGCTGGATTGTGCTGAAATGCTCTGAAAACAAAGTATACCCCCTCTAAAACCCAACCCCAAACTCCTCTAGTCCATGGTCTTTTAATGTCCGGAGCACAATCGATAACACCAGCAAAAAAAAAGCGAGTGCTATTCTATCAATGGCTAACAGAATTGTTTTTCCATTATAAGAGGTTATATTTATTTTATGTGTTCTTCTCACACACAAAGGTTTGAAGGTTTTTGGGGGGACTTATCAGTCATACTAATTTATGTTATATCCATGGGCTAATGACAGGCTTGTTTTAATGTAAGCGCACCATCACCCCTACTTTGAGCTCTATCTTCACAAAGTGTTAGACTGGTTTCAAAACTTCATGCTCAGTTTGTTCCCACCCTAATGAGTCTATGTTCTTACCTACATTTAGTCCAAAAGTTCTCATGGTTGTCCCAAAATGTTCTTATTATGATATCATGCCTGGCCCCACAAGACTAACATGGTTCAAGGTTCATGGTTCAAAATTTAGCTCCATGTAGCTGATCATTTGCAATGTCAGAAGGTAAAACCATCTACATTACTTTAAAAGTGCAGTGCTGCATTGGGAATACAGAGTGCGGGCCGGTCCAGTAGACTGAATAAATATAGAGGGGTAAATTCAGGCACTTAGTCATTCAGCTCACACAGTACTCACTGTAATATTGAATCTGAATGAACTAAATGTGTGTATGTGTGTGTGTGTGTGTGTGGGGTCATTAGCATTTGTTTAGTTTTAATATGGAACCTCTATAGAACTAAAGGTACACAGTGGGAAATTTGACTATTTCTGGCTATGAAGAAGTTAAAGAAATATTTTGGTGAAAAATCAAATTTACCCAATTTTCAACTTACCTCAGATATAGTTGATTAGCCAAGACACAGTTGGAGTCCAAATTTTGCTATCGTTACTTTAAAACTGGAGCTAACAAACACTAGAACTCAATTGTCACCCAAACAGCCCAAATAATTTCTGTAAAAATACACCCCAAAAACTTCTCTCAACACAACTAAACTACATCCAGGTCTTCACAAAGGACATACAGTATAGCTAATGTGGTTTAGGGCACAGTATGACTTACTATGAGTTATAAAAATGAGCAAAACTTCACTACTAGCAGCCATTTCAGACATCAAGGCTGGTATTTGCAAAACAGGACTGATGTTGGATCAGATTCCTCTGTATTTATGAGTACTGATGCACTGGTGCTCTCACCCCTTCTCTTCTGCCTCTACACTAATACCGGTGTCTCTAAGGAGCCAGCTGTCAAGATCCTGAAGTTTGCAGATGACGCCACTGTGATGGGCCTCATAGCCAACAGTGATGAGTCTGCCTGCAGAAAAGAAGTTGAGCAGCTGGTCTCCTGGTGCAACAGCAACCACCTGCTGCTCAACACACAAAACTGTAGAGGTGGTGGTGGACTTCAGGCGCAACCCTCCCTACCCTCCCTCAACATCAACAGCTCTGAGGTTTTCACTGTAGAGTCACTCAAGTTCCTGGGCACCACTATATTCAGGGCCCTGAAGTGGGAGAGAAACACGATTTCCATAGCCAAGAGAGCACAGCGGAGAATGTTCTTCCTGAAACAGCTGAAGAAATTTAATCTGCCGCAGAGCCTGATGATCCAGTTCTACACAGTGATCGAGTCCATCCTCACATCATGCATAACTATCTGGTTTGATTCCTCCACCTCACAATAACAAGCCAAACTCAAGTGCATAATCAGAACAGTGGAGAGGATCATTGGATGTAGTCTGCCAACACTTCAGGACATGTACAACAGCACGGTGATGAAGTGCGTTGACAAAATTACAGCTGACCCCTCCCATCCTGGACATCACCACTTCCTGCTACTTCCCTCTGATAGAAGATTTAGGGCCATTGAAACCAGCACAGCCAGACATGCTAAACAGCTTTTTTCCCCACAGCTTTGGCACTCATTGACCACCGTGGGCGTCTCACATTCTACACTTAAACTAAACCAACAACCTCCTTACTGTTTTACAGTGACTCGCCTGTAACATAGTGGTGTTTGCACAACTGTAGAGATATTCATATCATTCTGTAATATTCTGTTTCTAATAGCTTTTACAATATATGGCATCAGATCTTCATATGTATAGATATTCTTATCTGCATATGTACACATATTCACACTTCTCTTTGGCCCCTATATGGCTTTTTATTATTCTTTATACTCTATTTTGTTTATTGTATTTTTTATTTTATTTTTTTCTTAGCTAAATATATGTCAACAGTCTGTTTGCTTGTCTGGCCTGTTTAGAATGCTACATGTCATGCATGTGTGCACTCACCAAGACAAATTCTTGTATGTGTAACTTGCCAGAAGTGATTCTGATGGTCATTCTCACAAACACTCCACACATCAGCTCTCCTACTCCTGAGTTAATTTGTGAATACAAACTCTGTTATCGGAAGTGGCTGACAAAAGTTTTGTCATTTCTATAATTCTATAATTAGAAGTCATACTGCGCTCTAAACTATGTTAACAGGTTTACATGAACTTAACGAAGACAAGGATGTAGTTTGAGTGGCTTGAAAAAAACTACATTGGTGGGATATTTTTTGCAGAAACGATTTGGGCTATTTTGGTGACTAGTGAGTTCACATGTTTATTGGTAATGTTAGCCTCATAGCTCCAGTTTTAAACTAAAGAAGCAAAACATGTCTAGGCTGATCGACTAAATCTGGGGTATGCAGAAAATTTAATTGATTAGATTTTTCACCTAGCCATTTCTTTAAATGAGCTTTGATGATGACTGTGAAAGACTCTGCATTAAGACGTTACATTATAATTCTAATTCACCCTCAAATCCCAGCATCCTTGGACATTATGAAGTGGTATTGTATATGAAGGCCTTCATGTAAGCATCTTGTGAGCTGTATGCTGTTTGAAATCAATCTTGTTTTTAAGGACACTGAGAGAAAGCAAGAAGAATATGAAGTACACAGAAAAAAAACACAAGGAGGTTGAATTACTATATCATACCAAACCCTCTGTATTGCCTTGCTGGGTGTCTGAAAATATTAATATGGAAATATTAATGCTTTTCTAGGTAGACACATTTATTCTGGAACTCCCTTAGTGTATGTAGCTACTTTACCAAAACCCAAATATGGAGTTACACAAATTAGGTTCAGCATAAGAGGAAAATAATTGATTCAATAAAAGTGGGGTTTTTAGACAAAGTAATGGGAAAAATGGATGAAGCTGTTGAAAATTTAAAATCTGTATCCAACCAACATGTGTATAGTATCTTCCTCTAACTCGGTTGATATCATGCAGAAAAAATACTGTTCATGCTTGTGCTAAGATAGATGTGGTTATGTTCATGCTTCTAAGACTGCGAAGAGATTTTCTCCAAAATGCAGCCCTCAGTAAGAGTTGGACATGTTCATTTGTATAAGTGATATGAGGCAAATGATTGCTTCCTATCCCTATCATGCCAATCTGCATTACAAATCCATCCAGCATGCACTCATATCATACTAAAGCATTTTACCCACCCACCCCACAGTTCCCAATATGTCAAATTTTGAATGGTAAATCAACCATGAAAATATTGCTTCATGGGTAAAAAAGAGGTTGAGAAACATAAAAGAGTTGAAGCTACATATAGGTTGCTCCTCACATGTATTAGAGGAAAAACAATAGAATTTCTTTGAAATCTCCATCTCTGGTCTGCATGCATGTGATTTGTAGTGTGTTGTAAACACTTAAATAATAAAGAGATCAGGATATGTGGTGGAAAGAGGGTGTGGAGAGACTAGAGCCACCCTTAGCTATTTCAGTCTGCAGAGATGCTTTGTTCAAGCAGTGCCACCGAAGTACCAAACCAAGCTTTATTACAGCTACAGAGCACCTGTGTGCAGGGCACAGTGCATCTGCTCTTAAAGATAAATGCCCTGAAATATCAGTCAGTAAAGAGATAGTCCAGCGCCTGGGGCCAGTATAAAAAACTGTGTCTCTTTAAATCATTTTGCATGCAGTCGACTGCATAAATATACAAGCAACCACTATTCTTAGAGTAGACTTCATTGGCAGGCCAGATTCCAGCTGGACATGCATCTATTTACAATAGAAACTATTCTTGCCTCCTTCAACAGTTTCCTCATCCATCGTCAAGTGAGAAGGAGAGTTGAAATAAATAAACCCACCAACTTATATCCTATAAATAAATGTACTCTCTTGATTCAAAAGGGTCCATCATCTTTCTCTGCATCTGGGGTAACAGGCCTCGAGACGGTGAAGATGTCCTGGCATTTGAGTTTGGTTTTGGGGGTTGAAGTCTGCAGGTGTGGGCTGGGTCTCTTCTCGGAAAGCAGTCTCAAGATCTCGCCCACTTGAGCTTCTAATACAGACAGACGACTGCTCAGCGTCTGGATGTCCCCCTTCAGCTCCATCTTGGCCTCCTGCAGGCTGTTCTGCAGGAGGGCCTGCTCAGGAACAGGTTGGAATGGAAGACCTCGTGGAGGCAGGACCCCTGTTCCAGGGCTGGGCTGCTCAAAGGGACTCCGCTCAAATGGACTCCGCTCAAAAGGACTTCGCTCCATTGGACTACGTTCCATGGGGCTGCGAGAGTCACCTGCCCTGTCAATGCGCAGGTCACTTTTGGTGATGCCACTGTCACAAGAATCAGTCTTGTGTAGGGCGCTCTTCTCATCTGCCCCTTCACCACCTTCATTGGAATTGCCATTGCCATTACTTTCCGAACCTCCTGCTCTACCAGGACCTCTCCCTTCAGCCTCCTGGTTCTTGCCATCCTCAGAGAGCAGTTCCTGGGACTGGGAAACATCTCCCCACTCCTCCTCCCTCTGCTGCCGCTCTGGATCAGACGGAGGAGCGAGGGAAGCTCCAGTCCCTGTGTTCCTGAGACGCATCCAGCCCCGTCCACCCCCGCCTGCCCTGGGGCGGACTGGACTGGTGACCTTTAAGCAGTTCTGGTCACCTATGCCCAAGCTGGGTTTCAGTTCCAAGGCCTCGTGGCCATCCCTCCGGCCAGAGTCCTCTCTTTGAATGTAGGCCAGGGAGCTCTGGACTGGAGTTATCTGTGAGACAGTCACAACACTGGGGCCACCGTTCCCACCACCTCCGCCTGAACCAGGGGCCCCATTTTGCATAGGGGGTCCGTGCTGATGTTGCAGTGTGTGGTGCACCTGGTACTGGGGCTGATGATGATGATGGTGGTGGTGCTGCTGCTGATGGTGCTGGTGGGAGAGTGGTTGGAGCTGGTGCTCCACTTGGAACTGGTTCCTCTCCAGATCTGACTGCAAGGACCCTTGCGCCCTCATCTCCTTCTGCTGCTTGAACTTCTGGAACAGTTTGCGGACTGGGTGGTCCACAGGAATGGAGAGCGTCACCTCGTTCTTCTGATGTCTCCTTTCCTCCTCCTCCTTCTTCACATCAGCGATTTTGCGAAAGACGATCTGTGAAAAGGCAAGCGTTTCTAAAGTGAGAACTGTGTAGCACAGAGCTCCATTACAGCACACATGTTTATGGCAATACATAAGTTACTGTGGGTGTTGAAGATGACTTTTTTTTATTCACAGCTTACAAAGTCAGAGTCACTGCTATAAATAAAACTAAACTAACATAATCTGCTCAGGAGGATAATTGTGAGCATACTACAGAATGTGTTAATCTCTAAATTATGGATATAGTGAGAAGGTTAAGTGACCAAATGAAAGATAATGGTGCTGAAAACCCATAAAAAGCTACCAAAAATGGAGGGAAAATATTTGTAGTGAAAGCCAGCCTTACTGTCATCAACGGAGGATCTTTTCTTCCTCTTATGACCTTCTTAGCAGGAGCATGAGAGCTCAGGTCCCTAATTAAGGCTTGCTTTAGTTGAATACGGCTCATAATGAGCCATTAAAGCTCATAAGAGATTGGAGAGCACGGCTGAGAGGAGCAGGTTCATCCTGGTCCATTCTCAGTAATGCTCAGCCTGCCACAAAAAGAACTTTCACCTGGTGTCAGCTATTGCAATTGTGTTTATTCAAATAACAACCCATTTATTATTTTATGTATGTGTACAGTTAACACAGCATGAGGAAAACACCCCTGTGATTTCTTTGAGAACCATTCTATTACACAGCCTGTCCTCAGTCATTGAGAACCTTCCCCTGAGTCGTGCAGTCATTGCTGCTGTTAAAGATTTATTGTTTATGAACAAGCTTAGGCAAAGTGCTGGGGTCAAGTAGCACTTTAGAAGACTGAGGGAAAAAGCCGAGAGTTCAGACAGGATCTAGGAGGGGGGCTCAGTATTGAGTTGCGGCAAACAGGCCTGGAGTTCTGCCAAATGGAAATGCGGTTTATACTCACAACCCACAACAAGCAGTGCTGTCAAACTTTTAAGTGCTTAAACTGCCGATAGCTAACGAGCAACACACTCTCCTTCAGTAAGTAAGCAGCCTCAGAGCAGGAGACCCTCTGAGGTCAGAGAAAGCGAAGCAGCCTCTGGCAAGTCCAGCACTTCCCTCGGACCCAGACCACCGCCCTCTCCTTCTTCACCTCCCTCCAGCTGTGGGTATGCTCATGACAGAAGCTTTGATCGCATACGTTGTTAATTAGACAGCACTAATTAGCTGCCCAGGCCTCTCACCGGATGCCCTGGGGAGGACTGCATGGCCCAGCCTGACATACTATAGAAGGCACTTGCTGCACAGCTTGTTACTTTTAATAAGGTTCCTATCTTACTATTTAAAGACCAATATGTAGTTAAGTGTTGTTGTTTTTACTTGCCTCCTCCATCTTCTCCACTTTGCAAAGTATTTACATTAAAAAAAATTAAGGGTGGCAAGTTTTTTTTCTGCATTGCCTGTAAAAAGTTTGCCTCCAACTGGAAATTTCTGTATAAGCTAAGAATATAGAGCAGCAAAGGTTTAGTTAACATGAAGTGGCTGTTTTCTAATTTCATAATTCATGTTCATAAAAGTCTCTCCATTGGTATTAAAAACAGTTGCAAAAAAATATTCTGGCCCAAAGGTGGCTTAATACCTGACATCATAACAAGGGGATAAAATGCATGCTGTATGCCATTATTCTCAAGGTAGTACTGTCATAAATACTTACAGGTGTTTTACTCAAAATAAAGCTTGCAAGTAGGTGTGGGTGATATTGCAAAAATGTAACAGCACAATTAGCGATGTGCCAAATGTATGTAAATTTATCAAATACATTTAAAAATGTTTGGAACATCTTTTGAAAAGAATTTGCATTTCACCATCTTAGATATGTGCAAATAAACCTTTTAAGATGACAAAAGCAAGTGATGTAGGGGTTGATACACTGTGAACATACAGTCCAATGATTTGATATCTTGTTATTTTGAAATACATTGTGTGAGCGCTGTCTTACATACATACATGGTTAATGCAAAGTACAAATGGCAAACACAGAAGTCAGTACCACTGAGTTTTATCTGTAACCTAACCTTTGTTAAAACTACATATAATTGAAAAAACATAATACTAAACACAAATAAATGCATAAATGCAATATATTTAATACTTCTTTGCCCATTTTCATACATATCCAAAATATTTTTTATATTTTATAAACATTTGTAATATAGATTTTTTTCCATATGGGAATATTAACAATACTGGTTTGCTCATACTGAAAAATCTCGCTTTGAGAATAATTTATCAGTCAACATCAGTCACCTGAATTTGAGCCTTCCCTCTCTGTCTTCCCTGCTGCTAGCTTTGCTATCTAGGGAGCTGTTCAAAGCTTAGCCGGTTAGCTTTAGTTATAGTAAGAGTGGAAGTTACATTTACTCAGCTGCATGTACCTAAATTCGTGTATTTATACTTGGAATTCTTTGAGTAAATTCAAATGATAGTTAATTAAGTGGCTTATATGTGTGAAGAAAACAATTACTTTTTACTCAGTTTCACTTCAGACTGAAATCTTAATTCTGGTTTTCATTCTGCTGGTTCAGCTGCTGGGCTGCTCACACCTCTCACTTTGGAGTTTTAACATTTTATTTTGGAATAAAAGGATCTCAAAAGAAAACAGCACATAACAAACTGAAAAAATGCTGAATGTATTAAATTCAATTGTAGTTCTGCAATTAATATTCAATTATACTTTGAGGTTGAAGTACAAAAACCAAAACATGTGACCAATCATATGACTTTATTCTGTCCTTAATTGCCAAATAAATTATGTATATTTACTTCCATCGTAATTTCTAACATTTGTTTTTTTATCAGCAAAAAAAATTATCCACCTCTGGGCGACCGGGCGATTCTATTCAACAATTTGCCTTTTTTATTCAATATGCCAAAATGAGTACAAAAATATGTGGATGGAAACCCAGCTAATGACACTGTGTCCTTGTTCAGTAATAAATATAGCATAGTATGGTTTCATTTAACAATCTTACGTACTAGTAAGGATGAGGCTTTTTTTTTTGCTTTTAATTTTTTGTCTCCCGTTAATTTTATGGAATAAAATCTTTAACACTGTTCAACACTGTTTTGTGCTGTTCAGAGACGTGAAATGGCAGCGGTTCATTTTTCAGTTTGGGTAATGTTATTAGACAGTTTGGCATTCATTCACATTCAGAATTATTGGCCTAAAGTGTCGTTTCTAGAACTGTGTAAATGGGGTGTCCAGGGGCAGCTAAGACTACCTAGACCAAAGACCATCAACACATTAATATACTAAACTATCAAAAAATAACCCTCAGTTAAAGAACCTTTGTAGACAATGTAACATTTTTAACTTAACTGATAGGCTGTTCAAATCATATGAGCTTTGGGAAGATCCTATATTGAGTGACAGTTCCAGATTGAAAGATGAAAACTGACTGAATTTATTGAACACTGATAGCTGCTCATTAGCTCTGACCTCATTAACTCGCTGGAAATGTTTCACCTAAACAAGACTTTTTTTACTCTGTTATTATTAGTACACAAGATATCCAGAAAGCTCATGGAGAAGAGATGATGTGCACAGAGCTGACCAGACAGGTGAGTAGAACTATTTTATTCAGGATCATTCATTTCACACATATGGAAAAATGCAGGAAAATTTGGGTTGGCAGCCATGGTGACTAGTTATATATCAGGTGTGGTCAGAGCCAGTCTGTCCACCCCTCTAACTCCCTAACCAAACTATCTGTTGTTGTTCTTACATTCATTAAAACTGTTCCTTCACTACAGTATGTTTTGCTACTGTTGGACGACGTAAGGTAATTTAGCTACTTTTTCACTTTAAAAACATATGGTTCAGTTTAATGCACTAGTTCAGTATTAGCAGTCTGATGTAGCTCCTTGAACACTTGGCTCCTGTGTGCACTATTGGAGACAAACATCCTGTAGGGTAAACATTTTTGCAGTATATTCACTTCTCTCTATGTAGGTCTTTCCCATCTTTTCATACAAAAATAGATACAACAAAAAATGTCTTACCTAAGATTGTGTCAATGCAATAAAGCTGATCTCAATACTGTATTAATGAAGCATCACAGATTTCTGAATTCTTTCTCCTAAACTCCCCTTAGGAGAAAAGAGGAGATAAACATCAGCATTTCACTGTGAGAAGATCTGCTGTTGAATGAGAAAAGCAAGACTTCTCCTTCTACACTGCCGAAATGGATGAGAGAGTTGTTAAAGTCATCTCAAAGAAGAAAGCTTATATATCAATATGTAATTTGATCTGTAAATATTTGGATTTTCCTTGTTTTTATTTTTTGAAAAACTGAATCCTGCATAATAATTTGTAACAACGTATTTTGTATTCTTTTCAAAATATCAATTAAGCCACTGCCAGTATCAGTACTTCCACTTGCAATAACATTCAAATTGTGATGAAATTGCTGAAGATTAAAAATCCGTAAAAATACTGACTGTTTAGGAAAAACAAAGAAAAGTGGCATGTACATAATAATTTGGAACTTTGTGTAGAATAGAGCTCTCTAAGAAAACAGTGAGATCTTACACTTTTCTCATGGAAATATTATTCAGCTAAGACTTGGGTGAGATGAGTCATACACAAAAGAGGTAATCCATATGCGTGACAATAATCTGATTAAAGCGAGAAAATCTGTGGGTTATTTGTCATGAGTCAAATTTCAGAAAGAGGAGAAAATGGCTTAAGTCTCACTCTGACTGCAAACAGGACTTAACCATGTCTAGGCGAAGTACATGAGATTAAGAGGAGATCTCATTTAGAACATCTCTTTCCTCTGGGAAAGCATCACACCCCTGATAATGTTCTGACACCAGAAGAGCTTTCCTGTGTGTAAAATTAAGCCTTAGAGAAAATGGAGAAGCACTCTTTTAAAAAAAATACTTTGAAACCTTAAAATGTTTTACATAAATACATTAAGTGTATTACCTCCAAGTTTTTAAGAAACATTAGTTATGTGTTCTTGATGTGTTGCATTGCTGGTAATACATTAAGTATAATATTT